TTTAGGGTTTAGGGTTTAGGGTTTAGGGTTTAGGGTTTAGGGTTGAGGGCTTTCAAAAGTACACGTCTCAAGGTGCTTACCACCCCACACCATTTCTTCAGGGGAAAGACGTAGAATACACTTCGCCAGAGGTACGTAGGGATGCACACTGTAAAGGTACTGAACGGCCTTTCCACAAACCCTTATTTGAAAATGACGGGGAGGCTCCTGCATGCCGTAGGCACAGCGGAAAAAAGAAGGCCTGATGCGAAAACGGTTTAGAAAACCCTTCTCAAGCAGTGTCACCTCCCCAATAACATCCCAAGTATACGACCAGCAAAATACAAGACGACCCAACATACACTCCACAAATGCCCAATATTTAAAAACCACAAACACGCCTTCAACCCTAGACCCTTGTGTTCCGGGTTGCAACACGAAGCCAGCCGTATTCCCGAATCTATAGCGTGAAAAAACCTGAACCCTAAACCGACCACAGCGGCCCCACACTCGCCAGCCCCTAGCCCTCAACCCCAACAGTTAAAACCATCCCGAACCATCCACGCTAGGGTTTAGGGTTTAGGTTTAGGGTTTAGGGTTTAGGCTTTAGACCCATGAAGATCGGAACCCAAAGACCTGTGAGAACTTTATAGGGTTATAAAGCTCGCAAAAACAACGCAGCCCACACCGAGGTGGCGAGAGCTGGGAAGTTCCTTCAGTGCCTGATACTGAAGGCATTTTTGCCATTGAGGTCTCTGAACTTTGTCTTACTATGGTTAATTGTGTGTGTGTGCGAGCATATCATATCACATCAAATGTCATTATAATATATATATATATATATATGTATATACACATACATATACATATAAATACACACACACACATATATATATATATATAAGTATATATGTACATACACATGTGGATGCACGTGGATATCTAGGTCTGGGATTGGGCTTCACGGGTTGTCCCTAGTTTGGGTTCAGACATTCTGACAAGGATCTAGCACGACAGCAGCCGTCAAACCTAAACCCTATAAACCCTAAACCCCAAACCCTAAACCATAAACCCCGGAAACCTCCAGGGGAAACCGCACAACCCAACACGCCTAAACTACGTTGAACCAACGAAAATCCGACGTCCAGAAGCGTCCGGGAATTTTCAGGGCCGCCTTCCTGCGTCGAAGGACTTGGCATGAGTGGACCTGCATGAAGGTATAGGGTTTGTAATTGCGGATTAGGGTTTAGGGTTTAGGGGTTTAGGGCTTCGGGTTTAGGGTTTAGGGTTTAGGGTTGAGGGTTCCCTGAGGACGAAATGATGCGTAACGGTGGGGGCAAACTGATAATCTCTATACCGGGACTGAACGTTAAACCCGTTCAGGGCACATATCGTCCTCTAAGGTTTAGGGAGAAAGACATACCAAAGAAAGGTCCTCCTACTATACTGTTGATGGTTTTCTTAAAGGGCTCTAGGAGAAGGGCGCTGGTTTGTAAAGTCTCTACAACGGCTTACAGGGTTTATGGAGGTCTGTGAGGATTTCGGTGTCGGCCTTATGCGTGTGCAGAGACTCCAAAATCCCTTAAGTAAGGAATATACCTTAAATCACAATAGGAACCCTAATATGACTTAAGGTATATTCCTTAATTCCCTTATAGAACCCTTATAGATCCCCTTAAGGAACCCCTATAGGAACCCTAATATGACTTAAGGTATATTCCTTAATGAAGGGGTTTTGGAGTCTCCGGGTCATCCATCAGCTATCCTACGCCTTATCTCGTTAGCATGCTATGAGCTATTATAGTTGCAAGTAGACAGTTGTGAACCGCTCACCCAAAGAACCCGACTCTAAGTCTGTATAGGGTTTAGGGTTTAGGGCTTAGGGCTTAGGGTTTAGGGTTTAGGGCTTAGGGTTTAGGGTTTAGGGTTTAGGGTCTGTCAGGACAGAAACGCTAAGACCAAACCCTCGGAAAGCCAAGCAAAGCCCCCAAGGCCAACATCTCCAATCGCCTCCCCACCACCTGAACCCAACGCCAACATCTACACAAAAACAGACACACACACACACACACGGGGAAACAGAGACAGACAAATATGCAACAATCTCAACCACAAGCACATCTAACCAGTCCAAATCCCCAAATCCTAGAACTCGACTTAGAAGCCCCACCTAAACCCTAAACCCCAAACCCCAAACCTAAACCGTAAACCCTAAACCCCCAAACCCTAAACCTAAACCCTACACCCCAAACCCCAAACCCTAAAGCCCTAAACCCTAAAACCTAAACCCTAAACACCCAAACCCTAAACCTAAACCCTAAACCCTAAACCCCAAAACCTTGAACTCTAAACCCTAAACACCTAAACCCTAAACCCTAACTCCTAAACCCTAAACCCTAAACTCCTACACCCCAAACCCTAAACCCTAAACCCCAAACCAGCCCTAAAGCTCCTTTAGCCGACACCTCTCGAGCAGACCCCTCAGTCCCAGATCAGGCCTGGGCTTGGTTTGGCCTGTCTTTAGTGTAGGGTTTAGGGTTTAGGGTTTAGGGTTTAGGGTTTAGGGTTGAGGGGTTTAGAGTTTCATAGGGTTGAAGGGTGGTTTAGGGGTTGGGGGTTTAGGTTTAGGTTTAGGCTTAGGTTTAGGGTTTAGAGTTTCATAGAGTTGAGGGGTTTAGGGTTTAGGGGTTGGGGGGTTTAGGTTTAGGGGTTTAGGGGTCGAGAGCTTCAGGGTTTAAGTTTAGGGTTTGGAGGTTTAGGTTTAGGGGTTTAGGGGTTTGGAGTTTTAGGGTTTGGAGGTTTAATGTTAGGATTTGGGGGTTTAGGTTTAGGGGTTTAGGGGTTTACATTTTTAGGGTTTGGAGGTTTTAGTTTAGGGGTTTAGGGGTCCAGGGATGACAGGGGCTTCTCTGGATCATCAGTTCATCAGTTTCACACACTGTCTATAGGGTTTAGGGTTGAGGGTTTAGACTTATAGGGATCATAAGGCTCGCGAGCTTTACATGATGTCTGGGGCTTAGGGGCTCATACGTGTCCAGAACGTGTCTGTGGTGCATGGAGTTGTTTCGGTTTCTTTGCGTCGTTAGGTTTAGGGTTTAGGGTTTAGGGTTTAGGGGTTGAGGGTTTAGGGTTTAGGGGTTTAGGGTTTAGGGTTTAGGGGGCTTTTGTTGGCAATCTTCCGTGGAATCCTCCTAACAGGTCGAAACGTGGTTCGGTGCTTCGAGCATCCGGATGTTTCTACCGCAGAGAACTGTCATGAAACTGAGACCAGTCAGAAGCCTTGCCTGAAGTAGCTTTCTGTTACCAGCACCCCCGACCTCCCTCTCCACAAAAAAATGAAACCCAGTCATACTGAGTCATACCGCACGTACAATATATCGGAGCCTACAGAATTCCGCAGTAGTAGGATACTCTCATATTCTAACATGACAATTCCCCCCCAAGCACTATTCCAATCAACCCTTTTCAAACTGTTATAAGACCCTTGCAAGAACCCCTATAGCGCCCTATTCAGAATTATTGATGAAACACAGCCTATCGTTCCCAAAAACTGATGCCCAGCATTTCGGAATGGTCTGCAATCGGCTCGAGAGTGTGCGCTCGAAGAATGCACTCTACGGCTTGTGCTCAGAGTGCCAGGGGCTATAAGGTTTACGGCTAAGGTTTGAGGGCTTAGTTAGGTTACCTGGGGCCCCTGATTGAGCTCTTTCAGCCTGAAAAAAGCTCGTTGAACGTGCGAAGCAGGGTTTCGGCTTACAGGGCAATCCCTCGAGAGACCTCTGCAGCCGTCAACTCTGAAGCCGCTACTTCTGAAGACGATAAACCCTAAACCCTATATAAACCCTATATAAACCCTATATAAACCCTATATAAACCCTATATAAACCCTAAACCCTAAACCCTAAACCCTAAACCCAAACCCCTAAAACCCCTGAACAGGAACTCAAAACACCGGCCTCTTCCGAGCTCCTGGATCTTTGGGCAGAACCGTTGGGAAAATGGAACGTTCGTACGGTTCAGGGCTTAAGGGTTCAGGGCTTTAGGGCTTAGGGTGTTACGCTTTGGGGCTCAGGGTTTTAGGGTTCAGGGTTGTGGGGTTTTGGGTTTACGGTTTGGGGCTTAGGGTATTTCGGTTTGGTTAGGGTATTACACCTTGGAGCTTATAGGGTTTAGGGTTTAGGGCTGATAGGTTTAGGGCATTAGGGTTTGGGGCTTAGGGTTTAGGGCTTTAGGGTTCTATGGTTCTTACCTAAACCCTAAACCCTGATACAAATCATAAGCGTACTTTATGCTGAGGGTGCTTTTGCCAGTAGTTCACTGCTTCCTTGATGCAAAGGAAAACGATGCAGCCTTACCTAAACTGACGCCTTCGACGACCTACTAATGCATTGCAACGAAACGCCATGTGAGCGTGAACCACACCGTCTTGACTCAGCTGCTTGCGTGACACAGCGACAAAACTTATGGCAGGCTAAGAACTATGATGCTTGTGCTTTCGACTTCATCTGGCTAGGCTAGGTGGAAGTAAAAGGTGCAAGGATTGCTTCACGACATGCCTGGAAAATTACATGACAAAGTGCAGGGTCTCTGACAATGGTAGCTGGACTACAGGCCAGCTGCTGGTATGAGCGATCTTTAGTTTTCTACTGTCTTAATGACGTAGCTACATCTCTTGAGACATTACACCTGCGCAATAAATTTAAACTGTTACTTCCACTGTCAAGATACACCTGAGAGGTCGGGAGCTGCAAGGGCCTGACTGCTGAACGGCAGGCTACTGCGTAAAGAAAACTGCATCTGTCAGAACAGGTTACACAGGTTTGTCGACAGACTGTGCTGTTGCAGAAGTTTGAGTACAACAACTGTCGCACTACGACTGTGGCCAGGACCTGCCTGCTTCTGTTGAGTGTCTTGCCAAACGCACTAAGAAGGCTACAAAAGAGACTGGCAAAGCCCTACTTGGAGACACTAGGCGCACAGGTGGGTGACGCAGAGTTTGTGTTTTGGAGCGAGTGCACTTGTCAAACTACCGCTTCGAGATCGAAAGGGCATTTCTGCCCAGTTTCTTCTTCGTGGACTTGCCACAAGAACTGCAGGCATGCTCGGACCGACTGCTTCTCCGAAGCAGCATCGCTATAGACAAGGCTGAAATACCTGGGGTACTGTTCCCTAGGATAATGCGCTCTCCATCGGTTTGCCAATTTCAGCTCTTGGTTGATTTTCACCCCCGGAGCTTGCGGCACATGTATACGCACTTCTGCCAACTGGATCTTGGCCCAGTTGATCTTCAAAGGTACTTTCACTGAGCCCGAGCTGGTGGAGGCTGCAGCTGCAGCTGCCTCGGAAGGGTTGCTAACGGCGGAGTTGGAAGCATGTGACTCTGCACCGCCATCTTCCGCACGCGCAGGCTTCTGGACGGCACGCTTCTGTAGCTGCTTTCGACACTGTTGGACCTCTTCCGGTTCGAGGAAATCTTCTGCGAGGTTGAGGTTGTGTTCGTCACGTATCAAGCATGGAAGCTCCGTCATTTCACTGGCATCTCTTCTTGCCAACATCTTTGCAAAATCATCGTCAGATCCATTTGGGAAAATGTGCTTCATCAGTGCGAGTGACACGGCTTTGACTGTGGTGGGCCTGGCTCCAGTGTAAGCGACTTTGAGCGAGGTGAAGAGCTTCTGCAGGTACACCAGGGTGATGCCCCTGAAACCACGAGAGGCGGCATGTTCCAGCAGAGTGGGTATGTTCTCTTCGAACTCTAACACGATGCCTTTGAGCTTCGGGTCGTTCACTTTCCTCTGCGAGAGGTTCAAGGGGCTGCGAACTGAGACAAGGCCAACACGCCAGTTGGTGAGACTGTTGATAACAAGTGTCCGCACAGCAGCCGTGTCTTCGATGCTGAGGGTGAGGAAATGCATCATCTTGCGTAAAGGCCCTCTCAACTTGCAAGTCTCAACCGGCCAGCCGAGGACGCCCCAAGCTGTGGCCTTGAGCACCCACATTGCTCGGTCTGGTTGATCAGCATGCCAGATCACCGTGCCAGGCTGCGCAAGCAGAGAAAGAAAACAAGTTTTCAGCTTCTGCGGCTGGCCAACACACATGACAAGCGCTTTCGAAGCCAATCCGATCAAAGAATGGCCTTGCGGCGACAAGCTGACCCATGTATCCTCAGATTGCAGCTCCAACAGAGCATCTTTGCCCAAGCTGAATGCTTCCATCTGCGGAGGGGAGAAAACCTTCCGCGGGAGTGACTTGGGAGCTTGCAAGCCTGGAGGAACCTCGGGATGGCTGTAACCCTGACTCGTCAACAACTTGCACTCTGCAAGGTCCTGCCACATAGCTACTTTGCCTGTGCTGCCAGACTTGGTGTGACGTTCCATGTCTGTCAACCTGTTGAAGGCTTCCTCTACAGGCTTTGTGTGAGCCATTGCAGAGAACAGTTTCGTCAGCTGCTGCTTCAACTGCGCAGGAAGCGTCCAATCATTCTCCACAAGTGTTGTCATGATGCTCCTTACTGTCACCAGGTTGGGCCAAGCAAGTGAATCCAAGAAACTGCGAAAGAATGTATCCTGTCGGCAACGATCTTCTGCATCAAGCAACGCTTCCCAGATTTGCTTCAAGCTTGTCAAGGCGATGGAAACCGCATCGCTAGAATCTTGCAGCAAAGACACAAAAAGCATGGGCAGGGCATCTGTGTACTCCATCATGCTGTAGGCTCTGGCAGCGACGACTTCTCTTGCCAGCAGCAATGCCCTGGATGCCATCTCGTCCTGCTCAAGCACAACGGATTCGTCTGCAGTCTCATCCTCATCGACGCAGCGCTGCTCAAATCCCATCCAGTCTAAAGCATCCACATCGGACAACTTCAGGAAAACGTCGCGGAAACACATGTTGTACTTCACGCCGGTGCTCCATTGCAACAGCACCTGCAGCTGCTCAAACGGCCCTTTTTCCATGGTCTTCATGTCTTTGCCCATGCGGGCACGGATCGGGTCACAAATCTCGAGCAGCATGTTGAACATGCGCCTGGTAGCATCGTTCGCCATGATCAGGGTCGACAGTTCCAAGCCATTGCGGCACTGGCCTCGCAGCAGGCGGATTTGATCATTGGAATGCTTCACACTTCTGCTGCTGGAACCCGAAGAAGAGCCAGCAGCCTTGCTGAGCGCCACCACGCCCTGAACTCCGAAGTCGTCGTGGGAAGATCCACCCAAAGGAGCATTGGACAAGGAATCCCACCAACCTGCCAACCAACCGTGGTGAAGCATAATGCAAAGGTGTGCTGTCCAAGAATGCCGGAAATCTTGCCCGCAGTCAAAAAAAGAGGCCCAGCGTGCCCATTTGACAGTCGACCCTTTGCTCTGGAGGGCCTTGCTCGCCAGCACCATTTCCAGCACATGCTGCATGTGCTCGGAGTCACCATACGCGATGTCCGCCTGGAGACCCCATTCCTTGCAAATGCCTTCGTAACAGGAAAGGAACCAGATGTTGTTGGACATGTCCAGGCTTCGCATGTGCGCTACAGATGCTTTCAGCTGGCCATGAAATGCAGCTCCTTCGAACGGGCCGCTGCGAACATTCATCACCAAAGTGCATTGCCGCACAATGCTCCAAAAGCCCGCCTCGACACATCCTGCTTTCAGATCATTCCAGACACGGTGCCATGGATCGTGGGCATAGAAACCCGCGAGTCCGCAGCTTTGGAAGAGCATCTGCAACGCTGGCCAACCCACCGAGCCTTGATCGATAGTGCACACCAGGCTGGGTCTGGATGTTGCGAGTCCCTCGCTGTTGAGATCTTTGGGGCATTCCAGAACTCGCTTGCCAGTTGTCTTGTTGCGAATCACAACACGTTTGGATGTTGCACCATCCGGAGTTGGCAGCTTCACGAGTTGTCTCTCTTCATGCTCCTTCAGCCTTTCGGGCCTTCTGAGCGGCAAAAAGTCTTTCAAAGTGTGCCCGGTGCTGGCCTCCAAGCCATGATCCATGGCCAACAAAAAATGCATGTTGGGAGCTCGCTTGGGATGCAGCGCTTGCTCAGCCTCGTCATCCTGCGAAGCTCGAGCTGTTTCCTTCTCCACGAAAGCTTGAAGAGCGGCATTCAAGTCCGACTGTTTGCCGCTGTGCTTCGGCACCACTGATGCTGTGTCAGGCAAGACCTGTTAGCAACTGATTTCCATTATAGGAGCTTCCCTTTCTGTTCCTACTACAGAAACGCTATTGCTAATAACTTTGCTTGGATCAAGAAACAACGAAACAACAACAAAACACATCTAATACCGACACGCATATGTCTAATACTACAACCATAGGTCTTATACCGCACCACTAAGTATAAGACCTAGGAAGTAAAATAACAAATCAAGAAAACATCTAGTCTTATACCGGCCCAAAACATCTAATACCCCGCCGAAGCAGTCTTAGAATGCAGCTAAGGATTGTCGCGCGGCGCAAACCGCGAAAAGGAATTGCACCCTACACCATGCACACCAGCTTTCATACCTCTTGCCTGTGGAGGAATCCATGCTGCGACCGAGCCAAACTGCACCACACCAGCCAGCAGGTCCTCCGCTGGATTGCCAAGGCGCTTCGCGTCCAAGCACATGCCAACCACAGCATCACCTTGTTTCACTTGCTCGAAAGCACGCCACGATGCAGCCAGGTACAAGCAGGCATCGCGATTCGTCCAAGCAGATGCCGCCTCAGGGTTTGCCAAGCCCAGGCATGTATTCATGCGAGCTCTGGAGACATTGCTTTCCATGGCCTGTCGCTTGCTCTGCCGCACAGCATCCTCGTCGACATGTTGGCGCTTTTGAGCACAGGGATCGAAGTGCCTCGCTGCAAGAGCATCCTGATGAGCGACCGTGCTCACATGAGACTGCAGATGCTCTGTCACCTCGGAAATGAGCTGTTGAAAGATGGCCTTGCAGCTAGGACATTCGTCCACCCATGCCCAAAGACTGAGCAAACAGTCCACGAAACCCGTCTGCAAGCTTTTATCGTCTCCTTGCAGATGCGCGCGGAAACCCTGCTCCAAGTGAGGGCACTGCTTACTGTCAGAACCTTGTGGGCACAAGCCCCATGCTTGCGCAGCGGGCACGCGAGTAAGCAGCTGCTTCAACCAGCTCCCAGATGCAACCGCTGAAATGAAGCTGCACAGAAACACCTTCGATGCAGATTGCTGCTTTCTTTTGCCAGATGCCAGGGACCACTGAACCAAAAGCACCAGCAAAGCATCCGGTATGATCTGCCATTCCGTTCTACACAACCCTGGCATTTGCAAACCTCTCAAAAGCTTGTTGTCGGACTGTGCTGCCCTCTCTGATTTGACGAGGCAGTCGTTCACATCGAGCCCCACTGTTTCCCAGCAGTTCTTCCACTCGCCGTCTGGCAAAATGCCTTCCCGCACTAGCTGGTGCAAGTAACGAGACTGGGGCAACTTGCTGCAGCATTCTGCCGGTCCACGAAGCTCCAGCAAAACGAACTCAGATGAATCGCTGACAAAATACCGCCAACCTTTTATCTGCACTGACACAGATCTTCCTTCTTCCAGCTTGTTGCAACCAAAGTAACATGGCTCATGTCGACTAATTTGCATGGGTGGCTTTCAACCCAAGTCTGTTCCATGATTGTGTGGGTGTGAATCCTGTGAACTGACAGGCTTAAGTTTCAGGGCTTTGGGGTGAAACGAGACAGGTTGCTACCTAGTCACACTTGGCTTCGGGTCCGGGGACTATATACGTATAAACATTAGGGAACCTTCTCTTCTAAAACTTCAAGACTCAAGGCTCAAGCACCTCAGGTTACACGTCCACGTCTGTTTCTGTCAAGAATCTAGGCTCTGTTCTTGCACAGCTCCACCACACTCTTCAACTGTTCTCTTTGGCCATAAAGCCTGACGAAAGGCATGCCGTCAACCGTTCTGCAACACGAAGCACATCCAGCGATCCGTTCTAGACCAAAGCCCGGTAGACCTCGATGCCTACTGCATTGGAAGTCGAGGAAATTTGGAGGTTAAGGTTTTCGGGTTTAGGGTTTTTTTAGGTTTAGGCCCTTTGGGGTACGGAAAACTTGGGGGTCTGGCACGCAAGCCCGGTCTGCCTACACTTTGCGACACCGATTGAAAACATGGCAACAGTAGCTACTTTCACACAGCACCGTCAACGGACACAGTTCTTAACTCTGCACTCCATGAAAAATCCTACAGTTTGCACAGACAGAAACGGTAGGACACGAGGCTTCAAGTGCATGTGACCAGAACATTGTTTCCTGCAGACTACACATCTAAGTTCCATACACTCACAAACCCCAGAGAATACCTATGATTTCGTCTTGCCCTGCCCTCCAAGCAACGACTACATGCGCAATGAAACCCTAGCTCACAGCCCTATACGGTCTACGCTCCGAACCTACGGCCTACAACCGCTACTGCCTGCTGCTACTACCGGAAATGTTGAAGTAGCGGCCACACGAAGGATGTTGCTCACAGAACGTCGGCCCCAGAGTCGAGTTGCTACGCTACAGCGCTGAACTAGGACTCGCCCAGCATGAGTCTTCAGCATGCCCCTTGGCATCGCGGTTATGCCGGACTGAGAAACACTACGCGACTATGACATCGAGAGTCTGACTGGTGTGCTCGGAGACCTTAAAAGACGGGAAGCTGACATACTGCTACAAAAACAACTTCTTCCTGACTCTCGACAACTGGTCAGTACGTAAGACTGGCTACACATGCTTTCTTGCTTGTGAGTCATAAAATATCTAACCTGGATCATAACGACACCGATGGCTTACAGCATTTCTCTGCCGTGGCCAGCTCGGTGAGGAAGCGAGCCGAAACGTACAAGTCACCCTCACTCAGCCGGGGAAGGAATGTCCAAGTCAAGCTCAGTTCGGGCTTTGTGCTCACTCTCCTCCGCTGCCTGGGCAAACTTCGCGGCCAAGTTCTCACCCTCGAAGCTCTCAGCATCCGTCAGGTCCGCCGAAGACCCCGAACGTCCCACTCGCTTCTTGGAAGAAAGAGACGAAGGGGAAGCGGAAGCATCGTCTGCTTTGCGCAGTGGCTTTGAGGAATCTGCGGGCGAATCGCCACCCACATCACGCTTGTTTGCACCAAGCAACGCGGTCCGAGATCCGAGCCTCGCCACCGAAAACGGCACCTTCACGGGAGTCTCCACAGCGGCAGGCTTCTTGGAGCTGGGTGTCTCACGTGCATCCAACAAAGCTGGGTTGATGGAAGGGATCCTCTCAGCGGCTTTCACGTACACGGCGGCGGCGTTCTCCAGGGGGTTGTCGGAGACGACGTCCTTGAACAAGCTGGCGACGGTGTAGCGCAGAAGCCCTCCTTCCTCCACCAAGTTCGCGCGGCGAGCGGAGAAGTTGTCGAGGATGGTGACATTCGCTGGCACCTTGATGAGCTTCTGCTGGTCCTCAGGCAGCTTGCGGCAAGCTTCCTTGTCCAGAAACTTGTGGCGGATCGTAAGCGAATCACCGGCCCAAGTGACCTCATAGATGCCGGAGAGACTCCAGTCGGGTGGGAGGCGCAACGACTGCCCACGGTGGCCGTTCACATTGTTGAGCTCCGAGAGGATCTTCTTCAAGCTGTCCACGTTCTTGAGCGGGCCTTCCGTGCCGATGTAGTCTCCAGCACCAACATCCGTCAGGAACTCGATCACCTGAAGAACCTTGTCTTTCGGCATCGCACGCTTTGGGCCGTCCTTCAACGCATTGAGCGCATGTAGTGTGAAGATATTCTCCATGGAGCAAAGCATCTCGACAAGCACCTTCACATTCAAGTCGCCAAAACGAGTCTCACATCGCGGAAGCATGTCCTCGCCCTGCTGGTCGCCCTTTCGCTGCTTCTTTCTGGAAGGCTGCTCGCTCATGTATGCCTTCTCCAAGTCGACGCCGGCAGCTTGGAGAGCCGATTCGCAAACAGAGCAAAGCTCAGCATTGCCACGGATCATCTGCATGATCTTCTCGCAACGAGCGTCCACCTCCAGAGCGAGAGCTTTCTTTCGAATTGCGGCCGCCTGAGCAACCTTTTCCCCTGCCGTTTTCTTCACAGGCATGGCGGAGGATTCCTAACAAGCTATCGCGAGAGTCGCTACGAAATTTCTGGACACTCTTGCAGCCGATAGAAACATGTGTACCCAAGCTTTGACTCGTCTGCCAAAGTCCAACTCGCACTCATGACAAAGTGAAAGACAGCTGGAAGCTAGGAGTTCAATGATTCCGCAAACTGCCCTGGAAGGCCTGTGCCCCGACCTATACTCACAGCAAGGGCTCGGCACGGCAGCATGCTGCATGGATGGGTTCTTATGCACTGATATTCCGGCGACTCAGTTCGAATGTGCCT